CAAAACAACAAAATATACAGTAATCAATGATGATTCGGGAATGTCTGATATTCAAATCAAACATCTTTGTTATGCAATGTGTCATTTTTATTTTGATAATTTCTATATAAATGATGTACCATTTTCACTTGAATTGGCTCAACAATTTGCCAAAAAAGCAGCAAGAAGATGTATTGGTCGTAATGATATTAAACCAATTGATTCGATTGATGAAATTATTAAAAATTTTTCCCGAATTGTTCGTGTTCATGATAATCTTGAATATTCGGTTGATGATTGATTGAAAATGTTCACTTTTTTTGTTTGTTTGTTTATCATTACAAAATCTATCAACGTTCAAATAAAAAAAATTTTATAATTTCTGTTTTAACAATTTTCTCCACTAGATGTCTCTCGAGTCTATTATTGTTTTGTTGTTTTTTTTTGGTTGTATTTTCATTTATATCCGGCATGTTCTTTCGAAAAGGAAGAAAATTTTTTTCCAATAAAGTTTTGTAAAACGTGAAATTTTTACAAATTTGTTTCCAACAATGATCACCAACGATAATAATCAACCGATAAAATTGAAAACAAATTATTTTCCAATAACATTTTCATCAAATGTTCAAATTAATAAATATAAATTTGTTGTCGAACCAAGAATCGATGGTTATTATTGTTTACGAAAATTATTGAATGAATTTTGTCGAAAAATACTTCGAATACTTTATGATTGTTATTATGAAAATGATTACATCTATATACCGGCTAATCGTTGTCCAAATTATAATGATGAAAAATTGGAATTTCATCATAAAAATTATCGATTAATTTTGTATAAAATTCAAACATTCAATTCATTCGAAATGATGATGATGATGATGATGGATGTAAATTTGAAAAAATTTATCGAATTTCTTTATGAACAAAAACGTAAAAAATTTTCTACAATATTTTGTACGGAAAAAATCAATATAAATGAATATCCAGTACGATCAATTTGTATTGGTTGTCGATTATCAATAATTCAAATGAAAAATTTATCATTTCTGAATATAACAAGATCAGTAATTGCTATCGATTGTCATGAACACATTGTCAATGTTTATAAATTAGCCAATGTTCGCAGTGTAATGATGGAAAAAATTAATATTGATTTTCAAATGTATTTACAATATATTTTGAAATGTATTGATGAAATATCCAAATGTATATCGGATTATGGTATAAAATTATCATTATTACCATTGGAAACAATTGGTTATAAATTATTTAAACCAAAATTATTACCCGATAATAATTATGATGATGATCATAATAATCATAAACCATTCTATTTGATACCACCAAAATCATTATCATGGGCATTATTCATATTGGATGAAAATTATAATTCATTTAAAATGGAAAAATTTAAACAATTTTTTTCAAAACGTTCAAAATTCTATGGTATTAATCTAAAAGAATGTTTTATTTCAACATTTGTTCAAGTGAAAAATGTATCCGAAATTGATGCTATTTTTTCCAATTTGAAAACATTTCAAATTGATTTCGTTATTTTTGGCATTTCACATGGTTTGTGATTTTTTTGTTTTGTAAATTGTTTTTTACTCAAAAATTTCTTCTTTTTCATTAGGAAGTAAACTTGGTGATGTTGAAATTTATGAATTAATCAAATATTATGGTAATACTATTTATGGTATTGCAAATCAAGTTTTTCGTACGGATAATCATTCGGATAATAATCAATATATGGATAGTTTAGTAATGAAAACTTGTTTGAGAATTGGTGGCCAACCAAATATCGTACATCCACATCATTGGAATCGTTTTCCATTGAATACAAATACAACAATGATTGTTGGCATCAATGAATTTGCTCAACATTTTCATCAAATTAAATTAATTTTTCATTCATTAATCGGTACTGTGGATGATATATTTACAAGTTATATATCTATAAATAAAATATCATTAGATTATAATGATAATATTTATGAACAAATGTTTGAAGATTTATTGGATAAATATTATGAGAAAAATAATTATCATCCCCGAACTGTGATTATATTTCAAAATTTTCCAATTGGTGATTTTAAAAAAGTTTTAACAACCAAATCATTGGCTGATGTTCGATTAACCATTATTTACGTGAATAAATTTACATCCACATATTTTTTACCGCCAATCATTGATGATAACGACAACAACAACAATGGTATCAGTGTTAATATGAATTTTTTATATCCCGAAACTGATGATAATGAATTGAAAGAATTTATTATCAATATTGTACCACCAACATTTGAATATAATAATCAATGGGTAATCAAGTGTTATTTTGTTCACCCCCTTTGATCTTATTTTAATTAAACTTTCTTTCTTTTCTTTCTTTTTGTCAAATTAATCTAGCAAAATCAACATTGTTGTTGTTGGAAACCATGTCATTATACAATATTTTTCGATGATTGTAATTTTACTATTGAACAATTACAGGAATTTTGTTTTACAATGTGTCATTATTATTATAATAATTTTTATACAAGTTTTTTACCTGTACCAATGGAATATGCTTTGAAATTTGCACGTGATGCTTGTTCAAGATTTGCTGCATTGATTGTTGATCAAAAATTTTCATTTACCAAATCAATCGATGAATTGATTGAATATTTTCATCAAAATGTTAAAATTCATGATAATCTTGAATATTCAATATTTTGAATAACATTTGTTTTCTTTATAAAAAATCAACTAATAATTCCATAAAATTAACTATTTTTTAAATAAAAACATTGACACATTTATAACGACCATAATTGTGTGCGTTTATTATATTCAGGATGATGATTTGTTTCATTACCATACTTGGGATTAATTCTTCGACTAAAACGATCCGTTTCATATGCATATTGACAATCCTGTTCATCAATGATTGCTTTATCATTCATTATTGAATTACTTTTCATTAACAAATTGTTGTTCATCTTCATCATTGTTGAATGTTCGGTTTTAAAATTCTACTTTTTTGAAAAAAAAAATAAAACAAATACAGATTATGATGATGATTAAAATATGTATTTCTTATCATCAGAAAATAGTTTATCATCATCATCAAAAATTATATTACCTTTGACGGATTTGATCCATAATAATATTTTGGTATATTAATCCTGTTTGTTGTTTTTCTCTTTATCATATCTTCACCAAACAAATATCTATTTGATAAATGAAATTAAATTTTGAATTTATAAATTATAAATGATAATTACAAACAACCAAGAAAGAAGAAAACACAAAAACTTACGTTTTGTTTAAGTTTGATTTATGACATTTGTTTGTATCGTTGACAACTTTATTGCCATCATCATTTTTATTTATTTGATCATCATCATCATTCGATGTATAATGAGTTTGTTGACCATTTTTATCATATTCTTCAGATTCTTGCCGGGTATCTTCAATTGTTTTAGTTGTTACTTGTGGACCACTATCCAAAATCATTTGACCATTTTCAATAATCACATGTCTTTTTATTCTTGTTTCAATTTGTTTATTACGATGATTGATAATTCGTTTGCGTACAATTAAATCTATGATAAAAAAACAAACGAAAATATAACAAAACAAACAACAAAATATTATTGTCCAAAACACTTACCTGTATCGTTGTTATCATTCATAATCAATCAATCAATATTATAAGTAAATTCAAAACTAAATAAATTCATCAAACAAGGTAAAACTTGAACGTTGAACACTTTTTTTTCCAATGAAAGTTTTTTCCCAGAAAAAACAACTTGATAATTTCATGATCACCATTGATTTGCAATATAGAGATAGCCAGTGTGTGTGAACGAGAAAGAAAAATAATTTCAAATCAAATTGAATAAAACAATAATAATGAATGTTAATGAAACTTTTGTTCGATTCGCGAAATCCTTCGAAACATCGATTAATCGAAAGCAAAAGAAAAGAGAAAAACATTCAATTCAATCATTCAGTTTTGTTTGATTTGAAGCAACGTGTAATCAAAATCGAACGAACGACGAGATAATAATGGTAATGATCATTATAAATTAGCCATGAACATATTGACCATATTATCATTATCATCAAATTGATCATTTTTGACATGATGTTCAATATGTAACCGATAATTTTCAATAGCAAACAAACAAAAATATCTGTAACAAATTGAATTGAAATGCATAATCAGATGACCGACAATAAGTATAGTAAAACAAGTTTTGCTTTTTTCTGATTTCAAAACACATCAACGATTTTACGAAATGAAAATGACCCGATCAAAATCCAAATGCTTGATTAATCCATTTTTTTCGAAATTTTTCGAATGAAGAGAAATTGATCATTTTGAAAAAAAAAGTTTTTCAATCAAAAGATGGCGCTATCTGATTGTATGGCTCGCTATGAATTTTTTTTCTTGTCAAGATAAATTTTTCTTCAACAACAATGGGGTCATGACAATTTTATTATATTGAATGAATGAATTAAATGATGCGCCTGATACGTAATTTATCGTGAATCAAAGCAATGATATGCATAATTTAAACAATAGAATATACCTGTTGATGGATGATTAATCTGATTTCTATAAACTGACAGTTTGTTTTTTTAAAAAAGAAAGTGAGCGCGAATCTATAACGAAACTATTTCGAAAAAGTGATGAAAAGTTGACAAATTTTTGTTTCTATTCCATTGTTTTGTAGTTTTGTTTTGTAGTTTTTGTTTTTTGTGTAGTCAAAATGTTTAAATGGAGATATTTAAGAAATTTTCGTCTTGATTCACATTATATATTAAAAATATTGATTATATTCAATATTTTATTGGGTATTTATCTATTATTTTTATCAACAAATTATCGTCGTTATGTTGTTTATCCACATGATACCAGCCAAACAAATGATGATGAACCGAAAAAATCTTTAATCAAAGTAAGTTAATAATCATTATAAATTTGTATTACTTACTAATGTTTTGTAATTGAATCGGCAGAATGAACAAACATCGAATGATCATATTGTTGAAAATGTTCGAACGAATCAAATGAACCAAGTCAAAACGATTGATAAAAAATTGGATCAAAATTCCGAACAGCAACAACAACAACAATCTCGACAAGAAAATCCCGATAATACTGTTGTCATTACAAATGATAAAAATATGATAAAATCAAATGATCAATCGATTGATAAAGTTTTTGATTCAAATAATCATCCGGTTCAAATACAAAGCCAAAATAATGCTGATGATTCTAGTTATAAACGTATTGAAGAAGATGAAAAATCTATTGATGAAAATGATAAATTAAAAATTGAAATGTTAGGTGCTAAACCTGATGAACAGAATAGTATTATTCATATGGATTTAGATTCATTTGCTGATGGTAAAATCAATGATATGATTGAAGCCAAAGATAATCAGAATAATAATAAAAAAGATAATTCTGCCAAAGAATCATTAGATGATTTACTTAACAAAGATGTAATCAAACAAATAATGGATCATAATTTACATGTTAAAAAAAATTTTTCACAATTAATTATACCGGATAATATTAATTTGGAACCATCATCATGGACAACCGAAACAAGAGGCAATAAATATCAAGCATTGAAAAATTATATTATCGGTAATGGCCAATTTGATTATAGTCGAACAATAACATTGACTACACAAGGTGGACCGGGATTTTTACATCATGCCGAACAATTATGTTTACGTTGGGATGGTCCTATTTCACTAGCCGTTTATGCACCTGGAGAGGATTTTCAATTATCAGTAAATATGATCTATTATCTACGTCAATGTGCCAATGAATGTATTGCCAAACATGTGTTCTGGCATCTTGTTTATGATATTGCCTTTCCACCTAGTGCCAAAATTTCCGGACCAAATAGTTTTCTAAAAACAAATAAATTTGATTGCACAAAATCATTAGATGAAACAATGAAAATATTGAAAATCGACAATATAGATTTTCGATCAAACAAATCTCTTCCATATCCAATCAATATTCTACGTAATGTTGCACGTTCATCATCAAAATCTAAATATTTACTTGCTTCGGATATAGAATTATATCCAAATATTGGTATTATTCCGGCATTTTTTGATTTAATCGAACGTGAACAAAAAGGACTTTTACCTGTGATCAATGTTAAATCTCCACATGTTTATGTTTTACCTATATTTGAAGTAAAAGCAACTAAACAACCGCCAAAAACTAAACAAGAATTATCCAAACTTTTTAAATCAAGTACGTTTTTTGTTGATTTTTTCGTTCATTTTGGTAAATTTGATCTTTTTGTTTTGCAAAAAAAACAGAGGATGCTATATTCTTTCATCGATATGTTTGTGATGAATGCCAAAATTTTCCCGATCGAAATATTTGGATCAACGATATACCAAAGAATAATACGTTGAATATTTTTCGTATAACCAAACGTACACATGATCGTAATCAATGGGAACCGCTTTATATTGGTACTAATGATGAACCATTTTATGATGAAAGATTAACATGGGAAGGAAAACGTGATAAAATGTCTCAGGTATTTTGGATTATCAACCAAAAAAAAAAACTTTGTCAATAAATGAATGTTTAATCTATTTTTTCCCCTTCATTTCCTTAATCAGATGTATCAAATGTGTTTGATGAATTATGATCTATTGATTTTGGATAATGCATTTCTTGTACATGCACCCGGTATTAAAAAATATCATCCAAAAGATGATCAAAAACGTTTAGTTTATATAAAATATAATCATCAAATCTATACATCGGTATTGGCTGAATTGAGAAAAAAATATGGTAACAAAAATCATTGCTAACTAAAATCAAATCATGGATTCTCTTTGATAAATAGCCAAAAAACATCCAATTCTATACAAAAAAAAAATTGAAATTCTATAAATATTGTTTATATATTTGTTTTTGTTTAATCTGAACATTTATTTATCTTTTCTTCTATAAAATGAATAAAAATCAAGATGGCAGACATATATCGTGCCAGCATTTATTTTTTTCTTCAAATAATAATTGGAATTATGGATATAATATTTGTATTTTTTTATTATTAATAATAAATCATAAAAGATAAATTACTGGGTAATTTGGGTATTGGAAAGATATTGTTGTTGGTTTTACATTCCATAACTTTGAAAGAATTGTTGACCGGGTGGTGGTTGTGGTTGAAATCCGGACATTGGTGGTGCTGCTCCAATCATACCGGGTGGTGCGGTCAACATTAATTGATCTTGTGTATAAACTATGGATGATTGTTTTTGTTCATTTTGAACTGATTCTTCTAACTTGGTTTCAACAGTTTCTTTCAATTCATCCGTTTTAGTAGTGTATTCACGAAGTATTTGTATCAAGTAGGGCATTGCATATTCCATAATGTTATGTCTCCAGGCCAATTCCAATACGACATCAGGACGAATCAGATCATAACATTGATAGAGCATGGCTGAAAAACAGGCGTGATTTTTACGTTCCAAAAACCATAGCAAAAGATCTTCAGCCACTTCTGCTTGTTTTGATTCGGCTGCATATTCCATGGCATCTTTGTAAAGGCCATCCTTTTTGCATAATTCCACTGATTGTTTCCATCGATTATTACTTTTATATAAATAAGCAGCAATACGTCGAAATTCAATCAGTTCGTGTTTTTCCAAACGTTGTGCCAAAGCGATCGTATCGAAATTGTCAAAAGCATCGATCGAGGTACGCAATGCTTGATAATCTTCTTGTTCGATAAACAAATCATTCAATGCTTCATTGATTGCTTTATTGTTTAGGCTTTGAACAGAACGAAGATAATTCTTTACCAATGGTAGATGATTTGTCTGAGAATCATGAAAAAAACAATTAGATAATAGAGTCGTAACTAATAAAAGACAAACATTACCTTGGTGAAGAAACTCACTGAACGTGTATGATCCATTCGTGGTGCTAAGACAAGCAAAAGATCATTCAAAAGTAAAGGTTTGAAATCCAAATAGAACTGTATAGCCCGATAATAGAGTTCAACATTAGCCACTTTAGTGATCATATCTTTGAAATGACCTTCTCGCCATGCTTCGGTTGGATGATTCATCATTGTTATGATTGCATTATCATATTCTTCATATTTATCATAAAGGAATACTAATTCTGACCACAAATGAGCCGATTCAGCGGCACGAAGAACTTTTGGAATGTTCACACGGCTCCAAAACAATTCAAGATGTTCACGCATTTTAGCCGGTTTATACTTGGAATAAAGAATAGCCAATTCAGTAAACATGCCCATATGAGCTCGTTCCAATCCTATAAATATGGATTATTAGCTTTCAAAAAAACACAAATATTTATGATAATCATGACCACTTACCTAAAGCAGCTTCAAGCATGGAAATCAATTCTTCAAAATATCCACGGCTTTGATAATAATTGATTAAATCTTCAAGTTCATCGGCATGAACTACAATATGTAGACCACACATCTGAGCCAAACGGAATTCATTGTGATCAACACAAGCAAAACAAACTTCTTTCCAGGTACGAGTTGAATTGGCTTTACGAGCTGAATCGACAGCACCTTGAAATTGTTGCAAATGAACCAATGTAATGGCCAATTTTCCATAATTAGCAACATTATCATATAGGATACGAGCCGGTTCATATAATTTATCTTCAAAACAACGATCACCGATTTTAGAAATATCTGCATTATTTGGGCTAGAAATAAATTCTTCCAAATCAGTTAGCCGATTTGTTTTGGCATAAGCATAGATCAATTCGGATTCAATATATGGTTCACGACTCTTTTTACGAGCCATTTGTAAATAGCGAACCAAATCTTCCCAACTGTTTGTTCGATGAGCAGTAGTTACCACATCCATATAATTAACCTGATCACCTGCTTTAATATATGAATCGATTGCTTCTTTAACCATATTTTCTTGTAATTGGGCTTTAGCCAAAAGGCTCCAAACAGCCGGTTCATTACATCGTTCAGCAAATTCATATGCTCGATCCAAATTTTTAATGTGATCAATCAATACTTGTATAGCTGAAGTATTTACTTCAAATTTTTTGAATATAGCAAAAGCTTCTTCAAACAATTCCGAATTGATAGCAATATTTGCAATATCCGGTGCATCATAATTATCCAAACGATTTATATATTCCATTACACGGCTATGATCAGCTTTGATGGCTGTCAATATCAACAAATTTTGTAGATTACGATGATCCGAGAAAACCGAATTATCTAATACAATCTTTTCCAAAAGTTCAATCAATTCATTGGGCAAATTGGCTGCCATGAATGCTTTCACTGTGACTGAAATATCTTCAGGATCTTGTGTTTCGGAAAGGGCAGTTTGGACCACCTATAAAAAAGAAAAAATTTCGTCATTACATATCAAAACAATCAAAAAAAAAACAAACCTGATCAATAAGTTGTCGCCGGAATGGATTTGATTCTTGCAATACTTCAGCCCAAAGATCTGGATCACGTCGTTTAACTAGATAGCGAGCTTCATTTTTAAACAAAGAATTTTCATTACAAACTCCAATGAGTTCTTTGTCACATTGTCCACGTTCATAAGCAATGAATGCCAGGTGTGGATCTCGTTTTTCACAATACTTTCCAACAACACGGCTATCATAAAATTGATTTTCCTTCAAAAATCGTTCCGGATTATTATTAGAATCAATATAGATTTTGGCCAAAGCATTATGTGTTTCGGATTCTTGACAACCTTCATGAATACGTGTTTCAAGCCAAGGCAATAATAATTTGAGGCGATTTCGTTTTTCTACTTCTTCGACAAGTTCATCAGTAGAAAATTGTCCTTTTACAGCCATAATCAATTGTTTAATAACATCTTCCGAACAATCAACATCCAATAATCCTCGTACAACAACTGGCAAACGTGAAGGATTTACTTTTTGCACATAGATTTCAATATATTTGTGCAAATTATTACGATAAAGATAAAGCACTAGATCATGAACAAAATCAAAACGATCGCAAACAATAATTAATGGCAATTGATCGGTTAGTTTGGCTTCTTTCAAGAAATTCTTTACACGTTCTGGATTGTAGCAATTACTTTCACGACATATACGTTCAACTTCTTTAATTTGACCAGTCTTGCAAGCAGCCTGTATATATTTGAAATGAACATCCGGATCCTGATTAAAGTTAACAATCGATCCAAGAAAATAGAATAAACCTTCATAACTTTTAAACGATTCAAACAATTCAATCAAAGCAGTTGTAGTAAGCTGTTCATGATATTTGCTTGCTACTTGTACACAAATTTGTAAATTTTGTCGAATATTACTGGTAAGCATTGCTCGAAGACATTCCAATGAATCTTCAACCGATAATGTACCAAAATAATTGACCAACCATTCATGATTCAAAAGATGTGTATGAACAATCGCTCGTTTGATATCATAAAGATCGGTATAATTTTCCAATGCCCGTTGATATAAGCCAGCCTTTTCACAAAGTTGAGCAATCAAAGGACGATTATAATAGCTGAACATTTTGTTGGCAAGAATGGCATCAGCCACTTGTGGTGCAGTAACCAAATTCATTTCCAAACAACGAGTCTGTAAAGGTCCTTCTTCTTCACGATTATTTTTAAGAGCATCCAATAGAAAAGCAGTACATTGTTGAACAAGATTGGCTTCAACAAAAGCATCAACCATTTGATTAATGTCGCAAAGATTTTCTTCTTCCGAAACAATTGCCTGTGCAAATTCAGTTGCCTTATCCGGATTGCTACGAATAATGTGACGAAGTAAACTAAGATAATCTGGTTGGAATCCTACTTTTTTAGCGTACAAAAATATTTTTTTAAATTGTCCAGTTTCTGCGAATGATTGTACAACTTTCACCGGAACGTTTGCACGCAGATAAACAGACAAAGCCAATGTTGCATCAACCGGTTTGACTAAATCGCCCAATTCTTCACTACATTCAAGTTTATCATCTTTGAGCCATTTTTCCAACAATTGTTTTCGTTGTTGTTGAAGAACCGGTCGACATAATTCCAATGATTCATATCGATTTAATTTTCCTTGATCTAAAAGAATGCCAAAATAATGAAGTAATGGTGATGATTGATTAGGTTGCGCTGGAGTTTGTTGAAAACGTTGAATTGTTTCATATGTACGAAGAATTCCTTGAGGAGCAGTCGCTGCAACTTTAGCCGCTTCTATATATTGGCCAGTTGAAAAAAGATTATTGAATTTTTTAATAAACAAATCATCAGCTCCAGGAAGATTATTTCGCGAAGAGATTCGCAATGCCAATTCAGAATTTTGTAACGTATTATTTATGTATGGAATTAGATTAGTTTCATCGATACTAACCGATAGAACCTTAAAATTAATAAAATTAAATATTAGTCAAACAGAAGTTTCTTTTTTCCAAAACACATCATACCTGTCCTTTACGATTTACACCAATAATTCCACTAGTTGGTCCATATGGAGCCGTAACAAAAATAGTATCAGCACTAATACGATTCATATAGATACAAGTACCGGATTCAACATCATATAAATGAATATAACCATATTTAGTAATCAAATAGATTATATCATATTTAGGTGACATTTGCATAGCAATAGGAAAATCATTTTGTGCTTCTGGTGGAAAAAATACATCAACTTGTTTTTTTGGATATGGTTTGCTGCCGGTTGGTGCCGTACCCACTTCAACTATATGAAGCTATTATATATCATAAAATTTGTCAATTACTTTGTTGCACTCAAACATATGAAAAATGATAAAAAAATTCTTATTACCTTTCCACCTGCAGCTGTACGAGCGGCAAAACAAAATAAATTTGATGGTTCAGTATTTCCTTCCAATTTGAATGTTGTAAAAGCAGCGGCATGTCCTTCAATCGGTTGGCTAACCTTTCGAGCAACAGAATAAAGTTGCATGGCTCCAGTTACACGATTGCTCTAAATTTTTTGTTTTTAAAAAAATTGATACATCAGATTAATATGAAAATTCTGGCTTCATATATGGTCATTATTACCTGTGCTGAAATACCAATCAAAACAAGCCATTTAGCTTGATGATCAGCACGATAATTAATAATTTGACAACCATTCAATGATGCATGACGATCAAAAGCTTTTTGTGGTGTAGAATCACCTTCCATTGACCAATGATGAACAGCAGTTTCAGTAACCAATGCAATTGTTTTAACATTAATCCATTTCCAGAATAAAACTTCTTCTTCCATTGTATGTGCTTTCATCATTGATTTCATTTCAATATTGAATATTTGCAATGTACGTTGTGCTTTTAATGCAATCACTTTTGTTGATGGATTCATGATGGCTGAATCGGCTGATATTGGTCGTCGTATTGGTGTTGTTGGATTTGCCATATCAATAATAACCACTTGTGATGAATCACCAACTTTTTCACGAATACAAATAAATTTATCACTCTCCATAGTGAGCATATTGAAACTAATGCTCGATTGGTTGATACCAATCTGGGTTAACTATTAAAAAAACGGATAAAATTATGGAAAAAATGCAGAAAAAAAACAAAATTCCTACCTGGAGGTGTTCCTGAAATTTGATTGGAAGTATTTGAGACATTTTCGTTCGTTTTTCTTTTTTTTTGTATTTCACCAATCAATATGAACGAAACGTTTTCTTCAAGAAAAAAAAAGATGAAGATGCAGTCCAAACACAGACTAGCACCTGTCTTCGAAACCGACAAAAAGAAGAAAAATACGTATGAAATAAGAATTTGATAGTATAAAAAAAGGAATTGATGAATAAAAAAAACCAGAGTAGAATTCTTGACAATTAAGATTGATGAAATCAGCAAAAAAAACTGAGAAGAAAATCTAAAGATGTGAAAATTAAAATTAGAAAAATGGATTGGAGAAGAAAAAATCAAACAGAAATCAAACAGACCAAACGATGATGAAGTTTATATTAACAAAAATATAAACGAAAGAAAGAGCTAAAAAAAATTGTAATGTGAAACGCCGACTACCGATTTGGCTTGATTTGTGTTGTGTATGAGATGTGGAGCCTTTTTGATGTTTGGTTGGTTTTAAGGAGCAGCAAATATAATAAAACAGCCAATGAATTTTTTATATATAAATGATGACATCGATTGGTTGATCAGGACAAACAAATGAAAAGCGCCACTATATATACAAGTAAAATTTCAGGTGATGATTATGAGATAGCGACGACAACGACAACGATGAAAGAGCGGCTGTCAGAGCACTGTGTGTGTATTTTAATTGTCAAATATATTCTCTAAAAACTATACCACGTAATCGATTATGGATATGTCAAAAAAAACGAAACACAGAAAATTTTTTATTTTTTTTAAATCAAATTGATGAACACAAACAAACACAAAATGAATGATAAAAGGTCAGAATTATTTTGATAAAATTGGAAAAATGAGAAAAATTTGAGAAGAAAAATACAATGGACGAATATAATGAATGAAGGGGCATGTATACAACACATTCGATTCGATTATTTCATTTTTTTTATGCTAACTCATCAGAAAGGCGATTTGTTTAGCCAAGTGAATCGATAGATGGCTCTATAGATTGAATACAGAGTAGGGTGTTACCATTCAAGTCAAAACAGACGAATATAATGTAAACCGCCTTTTTTTCGGTTTGTTCGATTTGATAATTTTTTTTTGTAATTTTTTTTTGTAATTAAAAATTATAAAAACTTTTAAAGAAATGGAAGCTGTCGATTCGATTGAAGAACATGTAAGAACATTTAGATGATTATCTAAATGAAGAAATTAATCATGGACATTATTTTCTTATTTTCTTATTTCCAGTTAAAACGAAATGAATTACGTTTGGATAAAGTATTAAACAATTTGGATACAGAATTACATCGTTGTTCAAGAAAAATTGAAATACCATTTGATCAACAATGTGCATTGGATAATATTGATCAAATTCCACAACAAATAATTGATTTAAATAATCGTTTAGAAAATTTAAAAACAAAACGTAATGAATATATTAAAAACAAACAAACAAAATTGGATAAATTGGAAGAAAGATCGAAAAAATTTCTTTTAAAATGATTTTAATTCAATGAAAAAAACGAAACAAAACAAAATTCATTATTTATTTATATTATTATTATTATTTACAGTATTTTATTATTTATTTAAATGGTGGCAATATAATTGCTATATATCCATCGGTTAAAGGCTAAACAAACAAAACAAAATTTACAAAAATTTTAATTTTTATAATTAAATAAATAAATTCTGTATACCTTTTCGACTATTAATGATGGTTCATTAACTAAACATTTATTAATTTCAATAATTTTACCACGTAAACAAGATCTTATTGGATATGTCGTACCATCTTGACAATGAATTGTACAAAGAATCGATTCTTGGCCAACCATTTGTGCTCCCTTTTTGTAAATTACAAAAAAATTAAAAATTCTTTCCTTTTAACGATTTTTTAATAATAAAAATTTTTACAAACCTTTTTTCCTTTTCCCTTTACTTTATTATCAAGCCTATTTACATGTTTATTATTACCAAAAAAATCAATATTTTTAATTGATTTTTTCATTGAGATTATATCATGTAATGGTGATAGACAAATGACTGCAATGCTTTTTGAAAAAAAAGGCAAAATTCTCGTTAAAACAATGGTTACAACAAAACAAAGAGAAAGACCAAAAGAATCACACAAACCGATTTGAATGTTGTAAAACAATTTGATCATAATTATATCCATCTTTACTTTTCGTATAAATATCATATTGATAATAACGTTCAGAAACGCCTGGAAATGTTTTTATAATACGTATCTGTTTTAACATTGTTTTTATTTCATTTTTATCTTCATTATCACCATCACCATTGTCATTATCAATTTTACAAATATCATCGAAAATACTATCCGAATTTAAAGCCATTTTTCAAAAATTTTCAAAATCCACTTCTATCAACACATACATATGGCCATCATTTTTTTTGGTAAAAAAACACCAAATTTATACGAGAAAAGTTATTTAGAAATTTTAATTTTTTAAAAAAATGTTCACAAAAAAAAAACAAACAAACAAGATTAAGATTCAAAACAATCAAATCAATGACAATCATTCGTCCATGACATATTATCATCAAATAATTTTTCAACCAATTGTGATGATGAATGATTATTTTTTTCACCACCACCAACAATATTCGTTGATGTTGTATTCAACTTGATTTTTTTGTTTACTAAACATTCATCGATTATCGGTTCCGGTGTTGTTGTTGTTGTTGTTGTCGGTGTATGATGTTGCTTCAATTTAGCTGATGATTTCGGTGTTTGTTTCGACATTTGTGGACTGCTATTATCTCTATTATGATTGTTGATTGCTTTTTGTTGTTTGATAAATTCTGAATAATGTTGAATTTTAAATGCATAACGATAACCTTTTGGATTTATAATCAATGCTTCAATAGCATCACCAATTTTATTTTCATCTTTCATTATACAAAATGCTGATTCATCATCCAAAAAAACAATACGATATAAACCACCAAATTCCGAAAATATTCCATTCAAATCATTACGTGTAAATGATTTTGAAAAATTTAAATGAAAAATATGATTACGATTTAATGGTTCATCATTGCCTTGTAGATTCAGGAATTTTATATCATAATTTCCAAATATAGAAATCTTGTTTCGAAATTCATTCGAAATCTTATTGTTAAGTAGATTTTCTTCTTCTAAATTTTCCTGCTCACAAAGATAACGTATCATTTGTACAAAACAACAACCAGTTATAAATGAATCATAACCAGCTTCATGATAACGATTATCATCATCAAAATTTGATGAATTTTTTAATGAAAATTTTGTTCCTAAAAATGGTTCATTTTTTACCGTTTCGAATACTTTTTTCAATGCTTTTGGATATGAAAAATGAAAAAGATCAAATTAGTTTTGAAGAAAACATTCTGTAATGGGGTATCACACACTTACCATTTTGTGGGAAATAATTTTTCAATTTTGGACTCAATGAAATATAGGCCGTATCATATATTGAATTGAACAAACTTTTGATTGATAATTTAAATTCATCATATTTTTCCGGTAATGGTTCAATAAATAAATTATAAATATGTAATAAATCAAAAAATAAACTATGACCAATAATTGGTTTTTGATGTTTAATCAATGATTTTATAATCAATGTAAAACCAATATTATCAAATAATAATGATTTTGCTTGTTCATCTTTTGGTTTCGGTGTACCTTTTTTCAATATCAAAGAACCTTTATTATCTTGTTTCCCGGTGGAAATTTGAATCGAATCTTTAAATGATGATTTTTGTATAGTTTCATAAATAATTCTTCGATAATATGAATTACATTGTGGTAATATTTCTTCTTGTTGTTCATCGTTAGACATAAATTTATTTAATTTTTCATTCAATTCTTCAAGGAATTTTTTATCTTCATCTTTTTCAATTTCAATAAAATTTGTTTTCAATTGATTTTCTTGAATTTTTGCATTGATTTTTGTTTCAACTGTTGTCAATTGATTCAATGGAATGTATGTAATACCATCACGAATCATTCGGTTAAAATCAAAACCATTATCAACAAGAAATGTTAACGATGATGATTGACAAAGAAAACATCGTTCACGTTGTTCTTCAGGTAAAAAAATACATTTGGTTGGAAAAATATAAAAATTATATGAATAACAATCATAAATATAATCATCGGGTAATTTTTTAAACAATGATAATCCAAATTGAAATATTTGAAATTGATTTATATTCGTTCGTGTATTCAGATAAAGTTGTTCATAATTATCTAATTCATTATTACGTCGTTGATTTTGAAATAAACCACTAAATTCACAATCAATTGAAACGAAATCACAATCGGAAATTTGTTCATCAATTTGTTCAATATTTTCGACAAAATTTCGTTTTGTAATATCCATTTTTTCATTTATTTTATAATGATTTTGACAAATCAACAAATAAACTGAATGCGAAATTGGAAATTGACAACCAAAAAACGAAAAAAAAATGTGCTTCGAAATTCCAAAACAATCGAATAATTGAAAACACAAACCGTACGACATCTATCGATAGTATCGATATACTCATAGGAAGAGGGAATTTTATAAATGGAAAAGAAAAATTTTATTTTGAGTAAAATTTTGAATGAAAAAAATTGACAAAAATGAAAAAAAAGTGATTATAAATTAATATATTCATGTATTTTAGCAAATTCAATAAATAATTGTTCAATTGATGATTGATTTAAACTATATTCTTCAATTTCAGGATTATCATTTGATAATTTTTCCATTGTATGAAAAAAATCACCCAATGATTTAACATTATTTTGTGGTATAATTAATTTAATTAATTCAGGATTTTGTTCATTAATACGCATATCAGGGAAAATGGAAATGATTTCCTGTTGTATACGGCCAAAATCAAAACCTTTTTTCCATTTAATTTCAAGGAAATATCCTTTACCATATTTATTGTTTAAATGTTGTATGTTACCTAAACATTTTAAACTACCTTTAGCCATAATAGCTAAACGTGTACATAATGCTTCAATTTCTTCCATTGAATGACTTGTTAACATTGCACTATTCGGTCCATTTGGATCGAATTTTTTTATTATTAAATTCCACATTAATCTTTTCGAACTAGGATCCATACCGGTTGATGGTTCATCCAACATTGTCAATTTAACATCGGCTAATATTGATATTAGTAGACAAAGTTTTCGTTTATTACCACCGGATAGTTTACGAAATTTTCGATTTTTATATTCAGTTATACCGAATGCTTTGATTAATTTATCACAAATTTCTTTCATTTGATTACCCGGTACACCACGTATCGATGCATATAAATATAAATGTTCAATCAATGTAATATCCGGCCAAAATGGATTAACCTGTGGACAATATGCTAATAAATTTGGTGGTAAACGATCTTTAAATTTAACTGCTTCCAAATAAAGTTTCCCCGATGTTTCCAATTCATCACGTACAATAATTTTCATAACGGTAGTTTTACCTGCACCATTCGGACCAAGTAAACCGAAAATCTGTCCAGATTCCATAGTAAGATTTAAACGTTTCACTGCAGTTTGTGTTGGATATTCTTTTGTTAAATTTCTAATCACTAATAATGGTTTATCATTTTTGAATTTTGATCGTAGTATTTGTTTTACACGTAATTTTTCTTCAAAAACATCTTCATCCATTTGTAAATCTTCTTCGGGATTGGTTTCAATCGATGGTTCATCACTTGGATCTTTTCTTTTCTGACAGCAAATTATTGATTTAAATGAACGTCGTTCTTGTTTCATATGATCTAAATATGGTAACAAAATCATTCCTATCAGAAAATGTACAATCATCTGCGGCGGTTTGTTTGCGGAAGAAAAAACAGCAAAATTCAGTGAAAAATTCATGATTCAAAAATCGCACACACTTACCGCAACATATGCCGGTAATACATTATTATTCCAATAAAAATATGGTCCAAAACTGGGAAAATCTTCCAATTTTTGTTCTCTAGTTACATAGACTAAACTTTGCATTGCACCAAATGGTATATAAAATGGCCAAATAAAATAATTAATACGATATGATACATTTGATTTGAATATAACTCGTATGACATATGACATAATATACATAAAACCGGCTATTAATGATGATACGTTTGACATTAACGCCTGTGCAACTTCACGTTTATTAAATAAATGTGAAAATACATAACATGTCATTATTGAACATGGTATATATAATATTAATAATATCATTGCACAGATAAATGCAAATGTATTTACATAAATTGATAATGGTACGAAAAAATATGTCGATACAATGATTGTAAATACAAATATACCGAATGTAATTGAATCGACCATTGTTGTTACTAGCCAATATTGTAATATTTTCATACCGTTTATGTTTAAATAACTTTTTACATTATCCTTGTTTGTAATTAAAAGTGGAAATTTTGTAAATTTTTTGTAATTTGTAATTTGTAATTTTTTATACTTACATCACGTTCCTTAATCGTTTCGGCTGCCAGATTAACTGGAAATTGTGTCAATGACATACCGAACATAACAATAAACAACATATCTAAACCATCTTCCAATGAATTACTACGATCTGGTAATGGATAACTAGCCGTTCTAATACGATTTAAATGTTCTTTTGAATCACTATTTAAATTACCACTTTGTAATAACATATTTGTTATTGCATTTTGTAATATTGGTAATGCATATTGATATGATTTATTAAATAATAGAGTAAAATCAAATTCATTTTCCTTATTATTATCGGTAGTATGATTATATGTAATAGCATAATGTTTACCCAATAAATTTGTCAGAATCATACTATCAACATGTATGATTGGACGAAATGAATTGGATAATAATTTTAATTCATTTTTGATATTTGGCCCAGAATAAACAATCGATTGATCGGGATATTGATTTGATTCCAATACGATACGTTGTGGCATTTGTTCAATTAATCTTGTCGATGTAAATAACATAAAAAATACAATTACTAATGCTTGTATGGTGATCGATATTAAAAATTGCCAATTTCGAAGTATTACTTTCATTTTAACATCAAATAAATACCACATTACTAGAAAGGAATTTTGTTTAAATTTTATCTTATTCAATTCATTAAAATCAAATACATTTAGATTTGTTGTTGATGTTGTTTGATTAATTTGTTCCTGTAATATTTCATCACTTTCATAACAGATTTTCAGGAAAACATCTTCTAATGTTGTTAATTTTATACCATAACCAAGTATACCTTGATTTGTATCGATAATTTTATCTATTGATTCAAATAATGTTGGAAATTTAAATGTTTCATTTTTCGGTAATGTAAATAATAATTCATCTTGTGTTTGTCGTACCAATTTCGAACCATGTATATGATTCGACATAATGTTTTCAACATTTTTTATATCAACAGTTTTTGGTTCGATTTCCAACCGTAAATGATAACCAACACCGAATTTATTCTTAAGAAACATTGATGAACCACAACAACGAATTGCACCTTTAACAACAATTGCTTTACGATCGGCTAATACATCAGCTTCATACATTGTATGTGTACTTAACATGATAACACGATTTTTCTTATACGAACGCAGTAATGACCAAAGTTTTTCACGAGAATATGGATCAACACCACTTGTTGGTTCATCCAACATTATTATCTGTGAACCACCAACCAATGCAATCGCTGTACAAAGTTTACGTTTTTGTCCACCACTCAATACACCGGCCGTATGATGCATTTTAGCTGTTAAATCAGTTTGTGCCAATAGGAAACGTATTTCCTGATCTAATTGCCGGCCACTAGCACCTTTTATACGTCCGAAAAATTTTAAATGTTCCAATGGTGTTAATTCATCGAAAATAATATCTTCTTGAAAACAAATACCAAAACGTGTACGTAAATCGGCAACATGAAATATATTATCCACTTTAAGATCACAAACCGTAACCTGACCGAATGATGGTTGCATTGAACCAATAATCATATTGATTAATGTTGTTTTACCTGCTCCATTCTGTCCCAACAAAGCTGTTATCTGTGATTCATATATATCCATTGATAAATCATTAACAGCAATGGAAAATTTATCATAAATTTTCGATACATTACGGACACGTATTAGGATATCATCCTGTAAATCATCATCCACTGTTTCAATATCAACAATTTTCGGACGTCGTTTTCGTTGTAATTCTTTTAATTTTTCACTTTTTACCGGTGTTTTAAATAAACGTATTATTGTATTTATGAATGTTTCCCGATTCGTTAGGAAAATATCCGTTAATATAAGTAATACTGTATATAGTATGATATCAATAATAATCATAATCATACCAAAACCAAGTGAATATTCTGTTAATGAATACCATGGTATATGTTCAATAGTCAGCATTGAATATTTAATTGTATATGCAAATGCTAATGGTGAAAATATGGCCATATATTTTTCCATTTCCATTGATATGGACATTAATTCCAAGCCATAGAATAACCATGGTATAGAAAAACCGGTTAATGAACTTGCAATCGATGCTACTTTTGTTGTTTGAAATGGTACACTAACCAAAAATCCAATCAATATTAATGATAATGAATATAATTGTAACATTATATAAAAATATAATGGATTCATAAATATTGTCAATTCAAATAAAACAAATACAAATGTTGTTAATAAACAAGGTATTATGCTAAGCATTATTTCAACAAATGCCCATGATAACCAATATGGTAATGTTTTCATACCCATCAAATGCATTGCTTCTTTAATACGTTTTTCTTTTTCCTGTACCAATGATACTGGTACGATTGAAAAAAATGGCATAAACGATAATGTAATAAAACTTATAACCATTTTCATATGATATTTACTCATACTGAATGATAATGGTTGTGGAAATATACCGATATTAAAATTCGGTACAATATTACTTATATAACCACGATCCATAAATTTTATAATTGCTGTATCCATAATGGCTTGTATTGTACAAAAACCATATGTAAAAAATTTATATGGATCACATGTTGGTTTGGCCATTATACCATTATCTTCACAATCACCTGTTGTTATTATAATCAATCAGTAGTCAGTCAATCATTTTTCGCAAACAATTCATTCATTGATTGAAAAACTTACCAACACCACCTAACGGCATTACAGGTATAAAACGTTTTTCCATCCGTATGGTATATTCAATCGTCCGGTTTTTATATGAATCAAATGAAATTAATAAAAAATTTTCCTGTAATGATTGTTGTAGATGAAATTTTTCAAATTGTTCATATGTACGAAATGTTGTATTATAATAGATTTTTGTTTGAAATAATATTGGCTAAAAAAATTTTGTAAAAAGTTTGTAAAAATTTTGTAAAAGTTTGTAAAAAATTTGTAAAAATTTGTAAATTATTTATAAAAATAAAAAACTTACAGCAATTCTATCAATAGTATTTAAAAATTTTTTCATTCCTTCCTGATCAAATACATTATTATTAATAAAATACCATGTTTGATAAAATGATAAATATGGTGGTGCATATAATTTTGAATCAATAATTGGATCATCAATTTGTTTTACAATAACAAAATCCGGTTTTTGAAAAAACATATTACTTAATATGAATAATGGAAATAATAATTGCTATAAAAAATATTGATTATAAATTATAAATTAATTACAAAAAACAACTAACTAACCATCAATGTTTTAATATATTGCCTTTTTTTAATAGTTACATTACGTATAACTAATGCTGAAAATTGTTGACGAAATGATATATATCTTGGTTCGAATGTACGTTGTTTTTTCTTTTGATTTGTTGTTGTTGATGATGATTGTTCTTCTGACGATGGAGACGACGGTGTTCTTGTTGCAAACGATTCCATTGTTAAACGTTTTCGTTTTTTTTTCACTTTCTTGCTTGCTCGCTGAAATTTCACTTTACAATTTCGAAAATTGAAAGAAAAATTTACAATTTTTATAATGCAAAAAAAAATCGTTTGGTTGTTATAAAAAATTTATTTTTAATTAAATTATTTTTAATGAAAATATTCCAAGGAATAATTACAACAACAATCCACTAAAATAACGCGTTCTTATTGGATTAAAAGAAATTAATCAAATTATCGATAAAGATCGATAATCAAAGATCATCATCATTGACATTGGTTTCCATAGAATTAATTAAAAAGAGAAAAATTTTTTTTAGATCAAAATCGATGATAAGATACATTTAGAAAGCGACCAAACAATATTAGCAAATTTTCAAATTTCAGTCAATATAACCGAATCATGTTTACGAATCCAAATTGTATGTTCAAATTGTGCTGATCGACAATCATTTTCACTTGCTACTGTCCATCCATCATCAAACATAACCACATTGGCTGATGTTTCCAATATAATCGGCTCGATTGTAAATATCATATTTTCAATCATAATTTCTTCAGAATTATTATCATAATGAAGAATTTGTGGATTTTCATGCAAATCTTTACCAACACCATGACCACAAAATTCTTTAACAACATTCATTTCATATTTTCGGACAATATTTTCGATTGTTTTTCCAATCGCTGATATTCGTTGACCAGATCGACAAATTTTTATTGCTTCGTACAGGCATAATTCAGCAACATTCATCTATTGTAATAAGAAAGAATAGAGATTTCAATGAATCAAAAATCATTTTCTTTTTTAAAAATTACATACAAGATGTTTAGCTTGTTGATCACAATCACCAATTGCAAACGTATGACAACAATCACCATGAAATCCATTATAATAAATAGAAACATCAATAGAAATAATATCACCCGATTGTAATTGTCTTTGATCAGGTATACCATGTACAGCAATATTATTAACCGAAGTGGTTACACATTTAGGAAAACCACTATAATTTAATGGTGATGGATAACATTTATGTAAAAGACAAAGATTATAAACAATATCATCAATATCTTCACATGTCATTCCAATTTTAAGTTGTTCACCAGTTTTCATTAGAATTGTTTTAGCAATTTTACATGAATTCCATATTTTTTCAATATCATTAGGGTTTTTAACATAATTCGAATTATTGTGTTTATTTGGTTGACCATTTATTGCATAATCAGGTAGAAGAATATCTCGGGGAAAATTTCTTGTTATAGATGATATTGGATATTTAGGTTCAATTATTTCATATGATAAAAAATTGGTTGTTGAAAAAAATTTTTGCTTAACTAAATTATTATAATGATTAAATTTTTGTAATAAATTTCGAAAAATTATAAAATTATTTTTACAAATTGATAACATTTTTGTTATAACAAAATAAAAATTGCCGCGGCTCAAAAAAAAACGTTCGATATCAGATGATTCGAACAAATAAACCAAATGGGTCGAAATAGTTGATTTTGATTTTTGAAAAAAAATGCGCCAAAACAATTATGGATCATGATCAAAAGATGTCTCTGAAGATATGATCCAGAACAACGAGAACAAACAAAAAAACGCCATATCATAATCATCGATAATTTTTTTTTTTTTTTTTTGACAGAAAAATATATCCAAAGATCACCTCTCTCTCGGTTTGTATCGATGGAACAAAAAAAAAAAAACATTGAAAACACTGGGATCCCGGTTATATAGAACCAGCCAAAGAAAGACTTAAAGGTTTGTTAACTGGCTATATAAACATTATTGTATATTCAAAAAATGAACAGAATACATATTCAGGTCGTGTTTTTTGGGAGACTACATATTTGGTTAAAATAGTTTCGAACAAATTTTTGTTTTTGTTCGAAGTTTTTTTTTTCGAATGAAATTTTTATTCACCAAAAATGAAAAAAAATCTGACCATTTTTTTTTTTTGGTTAAATCATCAAATCGATGATGGTCAACACATTTTTATTATCATCTTTTAGTCAACGACAAAAAAACAAAGGTTTTTTCCAAACCAAAAATGAAATTTAAAAAAAAATTGGGATTTCCGTCGAAACAAGCCAAAAACAAGAAACCCCAAATAAAGTCTATATACCGTTCCTCATTCAGAATTCTCGATTCCGATCATCGTTCCAGCAACAACAACAAATTCCGAGCCACTATGTTTGCTATATCGGGTTTTTTTATAGTCAAATTTGTTTGTCACATTCCGTTCACACACACAAGCATATTACGAACTCGCCCGAAAAAAAGATGAATTTTTCTTCTTCTTCTTCTTCGGTGGTAGAAGTTAAGAATATATATTTTTTTAGTTTTGTCGTCGACAACAACAACAACTGAAACAACAACAATATCGACATATCGGAAAGGAAGAGAATCTAGTTCAAATGAAATGAAAAAGGAGAGTACTATATTTGTGAATGATAATAAACCAGCCACTTGGTATATTCTTCTTTCTGTTGTTGTTGTTGTTGTACTTGCGTTCCTGGATCGACTCTTTGAGTTTTCGTCTCTCTCTCCCTTTCCCTTTTTCTTCTGGATTCTATCGACAAGGCAAGAGAGAGAGAGAGAGAGAGCAAAAGAACTCAAACTCGTCTTTTTTTTTACTGTTGTTACCGTTTGTTTGTTTGTTTTGTTTTCTTTCATTCAGAATTCTGAATGATGATTTCTGATTTGTTTTTTTTTTCTCTAATTTTTTCTGTTTTTCTGTTGTTGCTGATGTTTGTTTTCATTTCATCATCTAAATCAACAACAACATCATCATCATCATCATCAGATTGTCCATTTTTTTTCTTCTTCTCAAAAAAATATCGATTGTAAAATTCCATGATGATGAAGAGGATTCTTCCAAAATTCTTGATGATCATCAAGGTTTTACCATTGATTGTTTCAGGTGCCATCTAACATCATCATCATCAGTGTTGGTCAAGTTTTTCTTGAATTCTTTCTCACTCGGTGTTTGTGTGTGTTTCAAGAATTGAAAAACAAAATCGATAAACAAAGCGACCGATCTTTGATCCAAAAAACTACCTCAATAATTTTCATTGTTTTTTTTTTGATTTGAAAACTGAAATGAAATCATGTTTTCTGATGAACTAAGATCATCAACAACAACATTATCATCATTATGATTACCGGATAAACATCAATAACAGCTGACAACCGGATGGTTTTTTTTCATAATAAAAAGAAGAAGAAAAGAAAAAGTTCAAGTTCTTCATTTTTTTTTCTCTCTCTCTCTGTTTTCTGTTTACCGAAAAAAAATGATTGCTCATCGATCATCATCAATGTTGTACGTAGAATATTCTTGTTTGCCTTAGTCTAAATAAAGAAGAAAGAAGACTTCATTTGAAACGAAATGAACAAAATTTTTCTCCTAGTTTTATCATTTTGTGATTGTGTTGTTTGTTTGTTTGAAAGAGAGAAAAAATCACAATAAATAAACTGAAATTTACGTCAACAGAGAAACGACAAAGTTTCAATTTTTTGTTTTGGTTTGAATCAGTGAAAATCCATATTCAAAAACAACAGACCAACAACAAAAATCCAACGATATTACGGTAAGTTATTTGGTGGTAAAAACATTTGATTGTTCTTTTGGTTTGTTTTTTCTGTTTGTTTCTGTGTTTTGGTTTTGAAAGGTATTTTCATCAATTTGATATCACTTTTTTTTGCTCAATGTCAATGAGATAATATCAAATTGACATTATACAGCAGCAGCAGCTATATCGAAATATTGTTTTTCTGATTAATAATTTATTTATTTCATTTTTTTTTTTTTTTTTTTTTTTTTGGGAAAATATGGGACTGATTTTTTTTCCGTAAAAATAAAACCTTTCCAATTTTTTT